TCAAAAAAAGCAATTCTCTTCTGTGATCCAGAATTTATTTGGGGAAAAACTCAAACTATTTCTTTCTGCAGTGGAATGGAGGTCAGAGGTGAGTCCTCACCAGTGAGTTACAAGAGAGCAAGGCTCTAAGAGGCCTTGGGCTATTTCTTCTAAACATCAGACAGACTCCCAGCTTAGACCTGAGGCCCAAGGGACACCTCTGCTGACTTTCTCCTTGGTACAGACACAGATTTCCATACCACTAGTATCTGGACCAAAGCAATGACAATCACCATTCCCTGGGGGACATCACAAGGCTGTCTCAGTCCTATCTGTTATATGAACACAGACAGAAGAGACCTGGGAATCTAACTAAGAATATAGATAGTTTTATCCCTGTGCTGTGAAGTGTACAAACTTCACAGTGATTCCAAACTTCAAAGCATGTGATTCCCAGCCTCAGCTGGTTACAATCCAAAGCTATATGTGCCCAGGTGACACTGGTGTACCTGCCTCCCAAGTTACCATACAGAGAACAAGAGGCTGTGAAGGGACAGGAGAAAGAAAGACTTGTGGCTTCACGGGGAAGGGTCTGAGCTCTCACACGTCCAGGTTCAAGACGGCAAATGTGCTTCACAGAGTGGCTGGGAGCTGGGAAGGGGAAACTGGAGAAGCCATCTTGTGGCTGGAAGAGTCTTTCTGTTACCCAATAGCCTGCCCTGCCTGAAAAGGTGAGGACTGTAGCCAATATGCCACCACCACCCACCATCCTGTCTGCATTCATTACTTCCAGGCTGGGCTGCCAGGGGAACGGATTCTTAGGGCAAGGAAGTGGACTTGGCATTGTCACTGATGAAAAGTCTTCAATGAGGCATCTCAGGAGACTCCATTTAATGATGTGAAAACTCCCTTGCTCAAATACTCCGAGGGCAATATAGCCCTAGAGTCCAGAGTGGTTTTCTTGTTAATTTTAAATTGCTCATGTGTCTGTGCGAGTGTAGCCCTATGTATGCAGGTGCCCACAGAGGCCAGAACAGAGCATTAGATCCCCTGGAGCTAGAGTGTCAGGCAGGCTGTGGCACACGGTGCTGGGAACCAGACTCTGGTCCTCTGGAAGAGCAGCAAGTGCTCTTAACTGCTTAGCAGTCTAGCCAGCTCAGCCCCAGAATAATGTTGTGGTGGCCCGAGTGAGAATAGCCCCAGAAGCTCCATGTTTGGATGCTTAGGGAGTGGCACTATTTAAAAGGATTAGGAGGTGTGGCCTTGCTGGAAGAAGTGTCACTGGGGGGTGGGCTTTGAGATTTTCAAAGCCCAAGCTAGGCACAGTGGCTCTCTCTTCCTGCTGCCATGCTTCCCACCATGAAGACAATGGACTAAACCTCTGACCCTGTAAGAGGTTCAATGTTTTCTTTTTATAGCATTGCTGTGGTCACGGTGTATCTTGATAACAATAATGGCAATACAATATTGACTAAAACATTGGTTCTTTCAAACATGCCTTCCCCTCCCTGGGGTCCAAAAGCTACCCCCCAGAAACAGACCTACATATTTCCTGATGTCACTGCATTCTTCTTGGTCCTTCGCCGAGGACTGCTGTGTGTTCACTATCCTGTGGTTGCAGTGAGACCATGAGAAGAGACGTGGTTCTGCTTATTGGGATTGTTGTTAAGGCTAGCCGAGTGTGCCTTGTCTACCCAGCTCAGACGGCCTCCTGTCCGAAGGTATCTCTTCTTCCTGGCTTCCTAAGAACAGCCATTCATGTTTTAAAAAATATTCTGCATGGTCCTGATATTGTGGCCCTGTGTCCTTTGGTTTTAAACCAAAGGAATCCTCTTGAGCGCCATAAAAATTGGGAGGTGTCACCAACACCGTTCAACTGAAGACGTGTTCGAGGGAACATGGCAGGCACAGGGCAGAGAAAGAGGGTTTTTTGGAACTTTACATGATTCAAGGTTCAAAAGACACAAAGGGATTACAGTCGCATCAGTCTTGGGGTCAATCGATACTGTTAGACGTCTCATTCTTCATCTCACACTTCTATAACACAGTGTACCTCTATACATCTTCTCTTCTCCCCTAAGCCCATAGCTTGGAAAACAGTCCCCATCAGTTATATAGGAACCTTCCCAATTCTTTTCCTATAGATGAATTGTATTTGACTATTTGGAAGTAGGGTAAAATATTCAACAAGTTCTTTCGAGGAATACATAGTTTCCCTTTCATAATTCAAACAATGCTATGATAAACTCATGCCCCTGTGTCTCTGAAAGTATAGCAAGCAGCAAGTTAAATCCCTAAAAGTGGAATCAATGGGGCAGATGGGCCAGGAACTTCTAATCCAGATGGGTATTTCCAAAATATCTCCAAAGAGGTTGTACCACTTGACTTCCCTGCCAACAACTTAGGAGAGAGCCATCTGCCCAGAATCTCATGAGCAGTTATCAGTCTTTTCACTGTTGGCTGACTGAAGGGAGTGTCTATGTTACTGTACTCTGCATAATAAAGCCAATGAACAGCATCCTGCTCTTCTAGACCCGCACTTCCCCCAATGGATTCACAAACATCTGGCTGTAAACAACAGTCTTTACCTAGGGATGGCTATGAATTTGGGGCATCACAGGGTGTTAGTTCTAGGGGACATTAGGATATGAGCGACTGGGCTACAGGGCACAGCACCTCCACTTTATGATTTACTAGCTTTATGATCTTTACAAATAATTTTACGTCTTCCAAATTCGGTCTCTTCACATTAAAAATGGAGGTAATATTGATTTTTGCAACGCCTTGCGTCTGGCACATGAAAGATACTTAATAATGGTTCTTAAATGGCTAGCAGTTTCCCTGGGAGTTAATAATCACAGGTCAGGGATAACCTGGATACTTTCCACAAAGGGCGTTCTCCTTTCCTAGCCAGGACCAAATGGCCTTTTCCTCAAGTGGTCAGACCATTTCCGCCTCCTCCCCTGAGTCACCTAGTGTCTTCCACTGCCTGAAGTGGATTGCTGAACTCTGCTTTGGGCCTGGGTGAAGACTAGGCCAGCTTGTCCCTGGGCCAGCTTTCCTCACTGCCGTAAGATGTCTGCTCGCAAAGGGACTAAGACAGCGCTCCTTTGCAATTACAGATGGACAGGCGAGAGGCAGCACAGAATCCTCTGACAAAATGCCAGGCGCTTTCTCTCATTGTCACCATACTCTGGTGTCTGCCTTTTCAGGGTATCATTTCTGAGGAGGCCAGCAAAGACAGATCTCTAGCCCTGACAGGAATGCCCACAGCTAGGGTTTCTGTTTGTGGCCATAACCATCTCCTCAGTTTTCCATTCAGGCAGACAGCATCCCCTTTCACTCTGCAGGATGGTGGAAATTATGAGCATGTTCCTGGAGTGAGTGGGGCTCTTGGAGGAGAGCTGCAGCTGCCTTGCCGAATGCACGTTTGAGTCATCAGAAAACTACACTTGGTTTCTCTCTGGATACTAATGTGTCTGTATGCAGTTTAGAGCCTCTCCCTCATGGGAGCTGGGAGAGGAGGCTGAGAAAATATAACTTATCAGATTGTGCCTTTGTTCTTTTCCTTTCGTTCACTGCTGACTGTTCTGGAAGGGACAGGATCAGAATGTCCGTGGCTTCCAAAAACTCCCCCAGTACAGAAAAGGGACTGCCTCTTCCCTTGGAAGACGGCAAACCCCAGGGAATCTCCCGCAAAGTGAACGCAAGGTGTCTTGTGACCCATCATTGTCCCTGGTACTATCTCCTATTGTGTCTGGAATTATTTCTCCTGGGACTGGCTCAGACCCAGGCAGGACACAGAGATCCCACTGCATACATTAATCCTTGCCAGTTACATGGCTGCTTCTCTGGAATCGGCCCTTCAAGCCTGCTTGGGAGAACCCAGATGCTGTTCTCCTGCAACCATGCCAACAATGTGGTCCTGGACTGGGAGAGCTCTGGTCTGCTGTCCTCACAGACTGGAAAAGCGCAGAGAATGTGTCTCAGTCTGCAGGTTGGACGCCTCCCACGTTAAACTTGTTAGGAAACATAAACGTCCAGGGTCCCACAGCTCCATGCAGAGAAAAGGAAGGTCCTGGTAAGAACAAAAAACAAAATACCCCCAACCAAAATCAAAGCGGCTGAAGCTAGCTCTAGGGTGCTGATAGTTCTCAGGTCTCATTGCTGTCGTTCTTTATGCCTCTGAGGACACCACCCTTTTTAGGGAGTCTTCTGGAGCAGCCACATGCACCAGCAGAGCTCAGGGTGACCAAGATCAGGCAGTAGACTCCCTCGGGTGACCAAGACCAAACAGCAGACTCACTCCAAGCCCTGTCTCTCCATCCCTTATCTTTATTTGGGTCAAGCCTTGGTACTGCTAGCCAAAGCTTCCTCCTGGCTGATGCGGGATCCGGGATGCGGGTGCGGGAGGTGGGCCCGGGGGGCTCAGGAGCAGGCAGGCAATGGACCGGCCACGGAGCCGGATCTCTGCGGGGAAACCTCTGGCTGCCCTGGACCCAGGGTCTCTGGCAAAGATGCCTGTCCCCAAATTCCCTCGGGTTGTCGCGCTCACACATCCCGCCCCTTGAAGCCACAAAAGCACCTTTGCCCTCATTATTCCGTAAAACTTCAGGAAAATCCCTAGTAAGCTTGCTGGAAACTGGACTCACCGACCGACAACTGCCAATGACCAGGGCAGCACCCCCTCCCACCAGTCCCCCATGGATCCCCTCCCTACACCCACGATCGCTAGGTCCCCGTGCCTAGGAGAGCCCTGGAAGCACTCAGTGACGCCTGCCCCGCGGCTGAGCGCAAGGGTTCCAGAGGGTCGCCAGAGCCAAGGTTCAGCCATGAAAGCAGGAGGGATCCCCGGAAAGTGGTGCGGGGAGCCGATGGGCGGGGGTGGGGGGAGGTGAGGGGCTCCAGGAACTGGCAGCCACCCGACCGCGCCCCTGGGAGCTACCGCAGCTGGAATCAGGAGAATGCAGAGCGTGGAGCGCGCTGCGCCGCTGCGCAAGGTGGCGCGGGGGCGCACTTACCTGGGTGTTCAGTCGCCCTCGACAGTGCTCTGGCGCCCGGCACATCCACGCTCCCAGCTTAGAGATCCGCCTGCTGTGCGGCCGCACCGCTCGCTCTGCGTGGGCGATTGATTGCCCCGTAGGTACCGCGGTGCAGGCTGCTCAGCTCCGCCGTGGCTCCCGCGCGGCACTGCCTCGGGCTCAGCGCGCCTTCCTTCCAGCGCCAGCCGCCCGGCCGGCCCACGTGAGGCTGCTCTGCCCGCCCCGGCTCTGAGAGAGCGCTGGTCGAGTACCCAGCCCAGAACCTCCTGCCTCCTCCAGGTGGCCTGGGATGGGGGCAGGTATCAAGAGACCTGATTGGCGCTGGCGGGAGTCCTGGAAGAACCCCCAACCCGCAAGGAGAATTGCGTTTAGGGATCTACTAGGTCCGCTCGCGAGTTAGTCCAGAAAACACTCTTCACCCAGCTCAGCTGCCTTTTAGCCCAAGAAAAGCAAAGCTCAGGAGTCGCAGCGTCCAAGGGACAACTCAGTAGTGAGGACTTGACGAGCTGTAAATGGGGTCCAGCGTGGAAAATCCAGAATGAGAATTTAGGCGCCAGAGTGTGTCGCTGTCCACTGAAGAGGGACCGCCTCAACAGCTACCTCAAAGGCTAGATCTTTGTGCTATTCCCAGGCCTGGGAGTCTAAAGGCCCAAGGTCCCTGCCTTTGATGTACAAGGTCCTTGTGGAGGAGGCAGAGTTAGAGTGTGTGCTTACCTAGCCCTGTGATGTCAGACCTAACAGAAAAGGGACAAGAGAAACATTAGCGGTGCTGGGGATTTCATAACTGTCGTCTTAAAAAAAATTTTTTTTTTCTTTAACGTACTATGGCCTCCGTGTGAAGGTCAGGGGACAACTCGCAGGAACCGGTTCTTTCCTTACACAATGTTAGTCCCAGGGCTTTTAACTTGTTTTTAACAACAAGTGTCTTTAACCTCTGAACCAACTCACCAGCCCCTCCTTAATGTCTTCAGAGGCTGAGAGTTGCCTGTGAACTGTACCCCAAACAGGAAAATCGTGAGAGCAGTTGTTGGAAGGTCCGTTTGGAGAACAGGGCAGGAAGAGAGTGAAGGAGCTAGCCTAGTTGAGGTTCTCAGGCCAGAATCCCTTTCTCAGGATTCTCTGTCAGTCCTGTTCAGGCTGAAGGTTTGGAGGAAGGAACGGGGTCACTCAGGATAAACTCAGTGAGGGAGCATCCTACTGGATCAGTTATATTTTCTATTTCACGCTCAGGGTAGTCTGGTACTATTCAAGGAAAAGATAACAGATTTGAGAAACAAAATAAAACCCTGAACACGAGAAATTGTAGGTCCCCAGTCTGACCCGATTCATCAAGGAACAAGAAAGATGTCATCAGGATAGATAGGCTCCTTCATCATTCTCAATTCATTATTTTAAAGAAATGACAATCTAAGGCCAGCTACCTCCAACCCGGTCACTACAGGGGAACTTCTGTGGTTCAGCTCATCGTTACTGTCTCTTTCCTGGTTGTAGATATAAAGTCCATTTCCATGTATCACCTCTTCTTTGCACAATCAGATCTCACACCTGCATTCCTTTCTCACCTCTTTTTCGAAGACAAAACAACAAAATATGAGAATCTTGCAATTTTATTGCAGACCTTTACACAGAAAAAGAAGACGACATCTGCACATGGGTTAACCACTCATTGTAAGTCAAACATCGATGTGATTACCATCCGAGTTATTGCCAGAACCCGAGGCCTCTTCTACACCTATCCAGTTCCCAAGTCCCAGAGCCACCATCCTAACTTTGTCATAACCTCATGTGTAACTAGGCTTTGTCTATTTGCGATACATCTCTAAATGACATCATTACTTTTGCTTGCTTTTAAGCTTTCTATAAACAATAACAAAGCAAATATTTACATTTTTCACCTATGCTTTTATTTGGTTTTGGGGAACTGCCTCTTTTGCTACATGTGGTTGTTTGTTCCTTTTTCATGTTACTTGATATCCCTTTCTATGAGCACGTCGCTATCCGGTCATGGTTTAGACGGATGGTTTCCAGATGGTGCCACAGGAGACTGTGAACTGCCTGACATCATACTCCTGTCCTTTGGGAGAGCATGCGCACTCTTGACTGCTGAGCTTGCTCTCTGGTCCTTATGGGTGTTTTTGAGAAACAGTACAAAGAGAGCTAGGAATGTGACTCAGTGGGCAGAGCACTTTCTTGGCATGTGTAAAGCTCTGGGCTCCACCTAACACAAACCCACTGTGACAGTGCATGTCTGTAACTGGAGAGGGATTTTTCCTTGGGAAAAAAAATGACAGGAGAAGAAAAGGAAGGAGGATCAAAGGTTCAAGGTTATCCTCCACTACAAACTGAGTTTGAGGCCAATCTGGGGGACACAAGACTATCTCAAAATAATAGTGATATTAATAAATATTACAAATAAATCTCAGGCACTCATGTGCTCTTTACCTAGTTCCCCTATTGGTAACAGCTTGAGAATTTCAGGACAAGATTTCAGGGTGACTATTGTCACCAACATGGTCAAGATACAAAACATGTCTATACCACTAGCATCCCCCTTAGCGTCCTTCTTTGTAGACAAACTTCCTTCCCTTCTGCACCTCCCCTACGTCTAGCTTCTAGAAACCATTTCCTATATTGGTTTTCCTTTCCAGGAATTTGTGATTTTAAGAACGCTTTACAAATGAAGCCATTTAGTCATTCTCCGGAGAGTCCTCCATGCTGTCTCACGTATCAGTGTTTACTTTATTATTATTATCATTACCATCGAGCAATATTCCAAGGCCTGCATGTGCCACAGCTTGTTTAGGTGTTCTCTCATTGCAAACTGTTGCCATAAACATTCACAGCCTGGATTGTGCATGAACCCAGTTTTTCTATCTTCAGGATGGATGCCCAGCCATGCACGTGCGAGATTATGTGGTAGCTGATGCTTTAAGAGTCGCCAGTCTGTTTTTAAGAATAGCTGCAGCATTATCCTCCCTAGCAGTGTGGTTGGTCTAGCTTCACACTCTTGCCGTCCTTCAATGAATGCTCATGAAATTATCACCTGAATTTAGGTGCCGCTCACACATCACACCAGAGAGTTTCCTTGTGCCTCCTCAATCTATGTGGGATTTTGATGTGAATCTTATGGTTGTTTGAATATTTAACATGAGACTTAACCACTAGCAGAAATTTATATATATATTAATATAATATTGTTAACTTTAGGAATTATATTGTTGACTACTGATCTTGCATAATTGAAACTTTATACCTGGGTCTAAAGAGATAGCTCAGCAGTAAATAGTGCTTATATTCTTGCAAAGGACCTGGATTCAGTTCCCAGACCCCACATGGCAGCTTAGAACCATCTATAACTCTAGTTCCAGTGTATCTGACAAGCCCTTCTGGTCTCTGTTCACATGATGCACTAAACACTCATACAGGAAAACACCACACACACACACACACACACACACACACACACACACACACACACACACATTTAAAAAGTTTGATTAAAACCTCTGTACCCACTGGGCACTAATGCTCTATCTGCTATTCTTTCTAGCTACTGGAAACCGTTCCAGTCACTGCCTGGGGAGTGGCTGTGTCAGCACCACAGCATTAGCTGGACTGGGCAGTGTGTGCATGTGTGCAGCTCGGTTCACTTAACACAAAGTCCTCCTGGTTCATCCACCTTGTTCAAGAAACAGGATTTCCTTTTTACCTAGGGTGGAAGAATCTACTGTGTATGGGCCACATCCTCTCTCTCCCCTCCCCTCCCCTCCTCTCTCTCCCCTCCTCTCTTCTCCCCTCCCCTCCTCTCTTCTCCCCTCCCCTCCCCTCCCCTCCTCTCCTCTTCTCTCCTCTTCTCTCTTCCCCTCTTCTCTTCTCCCCACCTCCTTAAAACAGGGTCTTAGATGTAGGCAGACTGGCGTTGAACTTGAGATTTCTCTGACTTACCATCCCAAGTGCTAGAGTTATAGGTACGCACCAGCTAATATCATATTGTTTTAGCCATTCATCTGTCGATGGGCATTTATTACCTAGGCTAAGGTAGTTAATGCTGAAATGAAGAAAGAGTGTGGTTATTTCTCCAAGATACTGTTTTCAACCCTTTCCTTCCACCT